GTTTGTTTGTTTGTTTTGTTCTTTAGATACCACATATAAGTGAGATCATATGGTACTTGTCTTCCTCAGTATGACTTATGTCACTTAGCATAATACACCCTCTATGGTACATCCATGTTATTGTAAATGGTAAGATTTCATTCTTTTTTATGGCCGAGTAATTTTCCATTGTATGTATGTATCACATCTTCTTTATCTAGTTCTTTTGATGAGCTCTTGGGTTGCTTCCATATCTTGGCTATTGTAAATAGAGCTGCACTGAATATAGGGGTACATATGTCTTTTCGAATTAGTGTTTTGGATTTCTCCAGGTAAATACCCAGAAATGGAAATGCTGGGTCATATGGTAGTTCTATTTTTAATTTTTTGAGGAACCTCCAAACCATTTTCCATTGTGGCTACACCAATATGTAATCCCACCACCAGTGTACCAGTGTTCCCTTTTCTCTGCATCCTCGACAACACTGTTGTTTGTTGATTTATTGATGATCGCCATCCTGACAAGACAAGGATGCCCACTGTCACCACTTTTATTCAACACCGTATTGGAAGTCCTAGCCACAGCAATCAGATAAGAAAAGAAAAAGATTGGAAAGGAAGAAGTTATTATTTTCATATGACATGATGCTATATATAGAAAACCTGAAAGATTTAGAACTATACTTTTAGAAAACCTAAAACTATTAGAACTGATAAATGAATTCAGTAAAGTAGCAGGATACAAATTTAATATGCAGAAATTGGTTGCACTTTTATTTTTATTTATTTATTTATTTTTTTTAGCTGAGCCATCCTGCTACCTGTTGGCAGCTCAGCGGCTGCTCAGCTCGGGCTGGACTCGAACCGCTGTTNCATCAGTTTGTTCTCTGTATGTATGAGTTTGTTTCTGTTTTGTTTGTTGCTTTATTTATTTATTTTATTTATTTATTTATTTTTTTAGCTGAGCCATCCTGCTACCTGTTGGCAGCTCAGTGGCTGCTCAGCTCGGGCTGGACTCGAACCGCTGTTGCTCAGAGCTCAAACTCTTGAGCGAGCTCTTAACCAACTGAGCCACTCGGCCGGCCCTGTTGCACTTTTATACACCAATGACAAATTATCAGAAAGAGAAATCAAGAAAACATTCCCATTTACAATTGCATCAAAGAAAACAAAACAAAAACCTAGTAATAAATTTAACCAAGGAGATAAAGGACCTGTACTTGGAAAACTATAAAACATTGAAGAAAGAAATTGAATAAGATGCAAATGAATAGAAGCATATACTGTGCTCATGGATAGGAAGAATTAACATTGTTAAAATGTCCATATTACCCAAAGCAATCTATAGAATCAATGTAATCCCTATCAAAATACAATGGCATTTTTTACAGAACTAGAACAAGTCTTAAATGTTATATGGAACCACAAAAAAAAACAACAAATAGCCACAGCAATCTTGAGAGAGAACAAAATTGGAGGTATCATGCTGCCTGATATCAAGGCTGTAGTAACCAAAACAACACATACTGGCATAAAAACAAACAAATGGAACAGAATAGAGAGCCCAGAAATAAACCCACACCTATATGGTCATTTAATCTATGACAAAGGAGGTAAGTACATACAGTTGGGTAATAAAGGGTGTTGGTAACACATTTTTTTTTAATGTTGCAAATCAACTTTTTGGGGGTACAATTTACCTAAAATAAGATGCACTCATTTTAAGTTCGCAGTTCTCTGAGTTTTGACAATTGAATATACTCATGTAACCATTACCTTAATTAAGAAATAGGACATTTCCATCACCCCAGAAAGTTTCTTCATGTTTTTTTGCAGTCATTCTCCCCACCCTGACCTTAGGCAACCACTAATCTGCTTTTTGTTACTATAGTTTAGTTTTTCTGTTTTACGTCAGAGTCATAAAGTGTGTACTGTCTTTTGTATCGGTCATATTTTGCTTAACATAATGCTTTTGTTATTCATCCATGTGTGAGCAGTTCCTGTTTTTGTTTTTCTTGCTAAGTAGTATTTTACTGTAATTGATAGAACGTCGTTTGTTTATTCACTCATCTATTGATGGAAATTTGAGTTGTTTCTAGTTTTTGGCTCTTATGAACAAAAATCTGCTATGAACATTTGTCTACTAGTCTTTATGTGGACATGAGTTTTTATTTCTCTTGGTAGTGAAATTGTTGGGTCATATGTATAATAACTGTATGATTAAGTTCTGACAATTAAGTTTGCAAATTTGTTGCAATGATGTTGCTAACCTGTTTTGATATCAGAGGGATTATTCATGAATTTGTACCAACTGGACAAACAGTTAAGCATGTTTACTTTTTGGAAGTGCTGAAAAGGCTGCATGAAAAAGTTAGATGACCTAAATTTTTCACCAACAATTCATGGCTCTTGCATCATGACAATACTCTAGCTCACACAGCACTGTCTGTGAGGGAATTTTTAGCCAGTAAACATAACTGTACTAGAACTCCCTCCCTACTCAGCTGATCTGGCTCCCAGTGACGTCTTTCTTTACTTGAAGGGAAGGAAATATTGAAAGGAAGACATTTTGATGATATTCTGGATGTCAAGGGTAATATGATGACAACCCTGATGGCCATTCCAGAAAATAAGTTCCAGAATTGCTTTGCAGGGTGGACTAGGTGCTGGCATTAATGCATAGCTTCCCAAGGGGGGTATTTCAAAGGTGACTGTAATGATACTCAGCAATGAGGTATGTAGCACTTTTTCTAGGACGAGTTCGCGAACTTAATTGCCAGACCTCGCATGCTCATCTTTTCTAAAAAATTTACAAACTGTTTTTCAAAGTGTACCAATTTACACTTCCACCAGCAATGTATGAGAATTTCAGTTGCCCCACATCCATGTCAACACTTGGTATTTTCAGTCTTTTTATAGCCATCCCAGTTTGTGTAGGGTGGTATCTCATTGTGGTTTTAATTTGCATTTTTCATAAGACTGCAGATGTTGAACACCTTTGCATGTGCTTATTGGCCATTGGTGTATCTTTCTTTGTGACTGGTTTATTCAAGTCTTTTGTCCCTTTTAAAATGTGTCTTCCATTTTTGAATTGTAGAGTTTTTTAGGTTTTTTTGGGGGGTTTTGTTTGTTTTTTTGTTTTTAAATACATATAGGGCCAGCCGAGTGGCTTGTTGGTCAAGAGTTGGCTTGGGAGCGTGAGCTCTGAGCAGCAGGGCTGCCGGATCGGTTCCCATATGGGCCAGTGACGCTGCGCCCTCTACAGCTAAGATGGTGAACAACAGCTCCACCTGGAGCTGGGTTGCCGTGAATCGCTGGAGATGGCATAGGCTGCAGTGGGGCTGCAGTGGGCTGCCGTAAGCTACCATGAGTGGCCGGCAGCCAGTGTGAGCTGCCGTCCAATGGCTGGCAACTGATCTGCCTCAGCTGGGAAGAGTGCAGTGATCACAATACAAACATGGGCCAGTGAAGCAACGTCCTCCACAACTAGACTGAAGAACAAAAACACAGCAACTTGTCTGTTCCCCTTCCCTGATTCCTCAACACTGTTTGTTCCCTTCCCCAATTCCCCAATAAAATCTTAAAATAAATACACACATATGTGTGTGTGTGTGTGTGTATATTTTAGATATAAGTCCTTTATCAGATATTTGTACTGTATTTTCTCCCAGTATGTGGCTTGCCTTTTCATTTTCCTAGTTTCTTTTGAAGAGCACGTTTTAAGTTTTGAATTCAGTCTACCAGTTTTTTCTTTTCTAGTTGGTGCCTTTTTCATCCTAAACGCTCTCTGCCTAACCTAAGGTCTTGAAGATTTTCTTCTATGTTTTCTTATGAAAAGTTTTAGCTTTATGTTTAGGTCCATGTTCTGCTTTAAGTTAATTTTTGTGTAGGGTTATGAGTTAAAATTCAATATTCATATTTTCCATGATGGAATCCAGTTTTTCCAGTGTTTCATCATTAGTAGGTTCACATACTCATGATATTTCATTAACAGCAAGAAATCTTTAACATTGTTTGATTTATACATCAGACTTATTTAAAAGATCATGACTCTTTATAAAAATTTTTATTTTGAAGAATTTTTATTTTCTATATACACATATGCTTATTTTACATGTTTTATATATTGATTTTTGATGAAATGCTTAGATTCTGCAAAGCTGAAAGTATATATTAAATCTTTGGTTAACACAGAGTTCAGGATCTTCATATCTGATCCATAATAAAACAGCTGGGTACTAATCAGCGTTCTATTACGGAACATCCGTATTCCTTTGATTGCGGCCTTCTTTGTCTCACCTTGGCCTTGACAATTTTCCTTTGCTGTTTAACTGGAAGGAAAACAAATTTCTCCTGTAGGAGTCAGGTCAGTATGCAAAATAGATAAAAGAATTAGTTGACCTCACAGATTCTTTATCTTTTCTACTTTTTTCTGTATTCTGTTTATTTTTTCTGTGAGTCAAGGTCATCTTTTCCCTTTGAACTCTTTCTTTTTTCACTCCCTTTTTGGAGAAGAGATGCAGGTGCTCTCCAAACATCTCCTTTCTTTATATATATATCTATTTTCTGCATATAATCTCCTGAGAATAAAATTGGATTTCTCTAGTTTACTGTGGGTGGCTTCTAGCCTAATGTCCCAAAATGTTTTAATTTGCGGGGGGGATTGAAACACCAGTTAGAACCAAAAACAGAGGGTGAGGGAGATTTTATATTACAAATAAATGGCATAGATGCAAATGGGCTTTCTTTCTGTCGCGTCTCTAATACTTCATCTTTTACAGTTTGTCGTAGCTATTTTTAATCTTGAAGCAATTTTACTCTACCTCTCCAGTGAGAAATCAATAAATATGACATTTTGGTGTTCTTGTGTTTGTTTTGTTCATGGGGTTAGTGCTCTTATTTTATATATGGATTTCATGTGCTACGTTGTGTTTCTCCAGAAAGAATACAGCTTATTACTAATATGTAATTATTGTTTTTTGTTCTTCCTTCTCTCCTTATACCATGTGGTTCTTATGCAGGTCTTGTTCAGCGTTGTGTGGTCATCCAGAAAGATGACAATGGATTTGGGCTGACGGTCAGTGGAGACAATCCAGTCTTCGTACAGTCTGTCAAAGAAGGCAAGGCATTTTTTAAAACAGTATTGTCATTTGGGAGCAAACAGTAAGAATAGAAAAACCTAAATAATGTCTATTGACCAGAATAAAATAATAGCATGCATTGCAGGTTTTATGGCTTGTTGTGCTAGATTTGTCTTTTGAGTCATAGTTTTAGGCATGAATTTACCCCAGTTGATTTTATTTCTAGAAAGAAAACAGTTCTTACATAGTTTTAGAAATTATATGACACTCTGGTCACTTACAGAAGTTTGTGGAATATTATTTCTTTATGGCACCAGAGATATTTTGGTAGAGACAGGTTAAGTAGAAAGGCTTAGAAATATCCATTATTTCCCCAAACAACATATTCTGCTATTACCATGATTGAATACTTCCTTTATGTTGGGTGCTATAATTTGAAGTAGGTATTTTTTTGTACCCATTTTATAGATGATATTTAAGGCTTAGAGTAAAAAAAAAGCCCATAAACTCAGTCTACAGTCACACAATCAGTGAGTGACAGGGACAGCATTTGAACCTAAAAGTGTCTGACTTTATAACCCATGTTCTTAACCACTTTGTTATGCTGCCTCACTTTCAAGAAGATTATCAGTGAATGCAAATGAATTACATTTTAAGTAATTAATTTCTCTCACAGATGGAGCAGCCATGCGGGCTGGAGTACAGACAGGTGATCGAATCATCAAGGTAAGGAAAACCCTATCATGGAATTTATGATAGAATTAAAAAACAGAGTATATTAGCCATAGTTTGATTTTTTCACTTAGATTTTTATAAAAAGCATCACATTGCATATGATGGATTTGTGGATGATAAAAGCTTATTTCTTTCATTTTAAAATTAATATTACCCTTTACTGAAAGGCATAATGAAAGGCTTGAATAAATGGAATCATGTTCTTGGATAGGAGAGTAACTAACCCATTGTTGTGAATATCATTTCTCTCTATATTAATTTGTTAGCAAGAAATTCTCATCAAAATATACTAATAGAATTGGGAAGGTATGCCATTACTTGTCAAACTGATTATTCTTCCATATGAACTTCACAGAGGTATAAGAATAGCTAAAGAAAAAAGTGTGTTATTTATATGGGTATGTTTGAGGTGAGATGGTGTGAATTAATTTAAAACAAGTTACTCATGTCCACCTATCAGTGGAACACAATAGAGCCCAGAAACAGACTTGAATTCTGATCAGTAAGGAAAGAATGGATTAGTCACTAATTGTTCTTGAGACAATTGACTAACCTGATTACTTAAAATCAAATTACTGTACAGGAAAAGACACCATGAACATCTTTACAAAGAACAATCTGGAAAAATATATTTAAAATATATTACAGAGTATATCATTAATTGTAAAGAGCACTTTCCAATTACTAAGAAAAGAATAAATAGTCAAATGGAAAAATGGGCAAAGAATTTTATTAGGTAATTCCCCAAAGTAATTGAAATAAATAATATATTAATAAGGGTATGTCCAACCTCACTGATAAAGATAGGTGAAAATATATTTGGTCATCAGAAATTTAAAGATTGATAATACACATTAGGCATAGTTTGGGTATGGTGAAATGGCTACTCTCATAAGCTTGTTGTGAGTATAAAGTACATAAAATCTGTTTAGATGGAAATTTATAAATATGAATCAAAAGTTATATACTCTAAGTAAGTATATAACCTTTAACCAGCAATTTTGCTTTTAGGAACATGTCTAAGGAAGTAAGTGTACAAATGTGAAGTGATATGTGTACAGGGAAATTCATTTTAGCTTTATCATATTAAAAACTCGTAAACAACCTAAATATGGATAAACTGAGAGCTAGAGAAATAAATTATATTTTATCTGCAGCTTTGAAAAAAAGTGGATTAGGTCTGTGTATATCTATAATAAAAGATATCCACAATACAATAAAAACTATTAATTTGCAGGAAAAAAGACAGTTATAATGTATGTGTATATGTTTCTATGTATGTGGTATGTGTATGCTAGAATAGTGTCTCAAAGATTAAACATCATGGTTAACAGTGATCATCTCTGGTGGGCATGATGAGTATACTTCTATTTTATACACTGATATATTTGAACTTGTAAAAATTAGCATTACTTGTGTCAGAGAACAAATAATGTTAAATCCGTGTTTGATATTTTTACGTTAATTTTTTTTTAGTGGAGACTCTGGATAACATTTAGCCAGTCTGAAAATTAATTTTTTTATTAGTTTCAGATGTACAAAGCAATGTAATAGTTAAACATTTACACCCCTCACAAAATAATAACCCCTCCAATCTACTACCCCTCTGACATCATATATAGCTGTTACAATACCATTGACTATATTCCCTATGCTGTACTCCACATCCCATTAAAAAAAAAAAAGAAAGAAAAATGTAAAAAAAACCATATATAAATATTAATTATAGTTCACATTGAATATTATTCAACTTCAGCTTCAGGTGTATAGCACAGTGGTCAAGCATCTACACAGTCTATGAAGTGACCTCTCTGATAAGTCCAGTGCCCATCTGGCACCCTACATAACCTTTACAACATTGTTGATTATATTCCCCAAACTGCGTCTCATATCCCCGTGACTATATTGTGACTACTAATTTGTACTTTCTAATACCTTTACCTTCTCTATCCCCATCCCCCACCGTCTAGTAACCATCAGTTTTCTTTTCCCCTGTATCTCTTGAGTCTATTTCTGTTTTGTTTGTTTGTTTATTCTGTTCTTTAGATTCCACATATAAGTGAGATAATATGGTATTTGTCTTTCTCAGTCTGTCTTATTTCACTCAGCATAATAATTTCTAGGTCCATCCATGTTGCAAATGGTAAGATTAGGTCATGATTGGGAAAGTAAAAGTAAGTTGAATATTATTTTGGAAATAGCAATATTTGCTTATTTTTTCATCTTTTAAAAAATGTATTATGGGTGCCGGCCTGGTGGCTCAGTTGGTTAGAGCGCGAGCTCTGAGCAGTAGAGTCGCCGGTTTGAATCCCATCTGGGCCAGTGAGCTGCGCCCGAGCTGAGCTGCCGCTGAGCTGGTGAGAGCATGTGTTCTTAACAACAAGGTTGCCGGTTCGACTCGTGCATGGGATGGTGGACACCTCCCCGCAACTAGATTGAAAGCAGAATAAAGCAGCAACTGGACTTGGAGCTGAGCTTGTGCCCACCACAACGAAGATTGAAGGACAATGACTTGGAGCTGATGGGTCCTAGAAAAAAAACAATGTTCTTTTCCCCAATAAAATCTTAAAAAAAAAATGTATTATGATTTTTATAAATCAATGAATTTGTATAAAAGCAAAGAAATATTTTCTATTTGCAAGAGTCCTTCATTGTGAAGGATTTGTAAATCTGTTTCATGGTATGTTTTGTCTTCTGTCATGGTGAATATGTTGTAATGCCCTTTAAATCAAGGCCTTGTTTTGTGTTCAAGTTCATGCTGTTGCTCAGTATACCTTATAGAATAGTAGTACAAGTGAATATTGAACCAAATATATACATATTTTAATATATACATAGCCCTGCTTACTATATTATAATTGGTTGTATTATGTATAATAATTCCTGAAGTCAGTTTATTCATTGTCTCAGTAGAATGTATCTGACATATACTATTTTCCTTTTCTTGCAGGTGAATGGAACTCTGGTCACTCATTCAAACCATTTGGAGGTGGTGAAGCTAATTAAATGTAGGTGAATGTTACTTGTTTTAATTGTTTCCTGAAACCTTAAAATCAAGGATCAACAAACATTTTCTGTAATAGACCAGATAGTAAATATTGTAGGCTTTATGAGCCATATGGTTTACTACTTTGTCACTGTAGCACCAAAGCAGCCATAGACAGTATGTAAATGAATGGGTGTGGCAGTGTTTCAATTAAATTTTAATTGCCAAAATGGTCTCTGGGTTTGGTTTAAGCCCCTTGGCTAGAGTCTGCTGATCCCTGCATAAAGTAAAGTTTGAGGTGAAAGTTCTTAACTAAATTACTATCTTCTGTCAACTTCATACATGTGCTTGATTATAATCTTCTTGTCATTCTTGGTAATATTGAAACCGTATATTTGAAAGAAATGTATGAGTCACCTGAAAGGGAGGAGATTGAGAAATTGGACGCAATGGCCTAGATGAACTGAAACGGAACTTTATAAATCATCAAGCATAATCACTTTTTTTTAGATAAGTACATGATTAAATAACCTAGGGTAGTGATCTTCTCTTGGAAATCTTCACGGTAAAGGATTTATAATATTCTGCATCAGACTATACCCAGTAAAGTAGACTTTAGAGATAGGTGTTTGTAACCAAGCAGAAACACTGCAGTTTTATTTAATTCTATTTCTTTTCTTTGAGTGGACATCTTTAGAATAAATTCAATAGACTGAATTCTTTCTTAGCTTTCTTATTATTTAAGTAAAGCAATCCATGAATTCCTTTACCTTTTCATTGGAGTTCTGAATGGTCACTTTGACCATACTTCTTAATTTTAGTACATTGGGTTGTTGGAAAAGTCATGATGTATTTTTTCTGTTTTTCATTGCAAAAATGCGTCATGACTTTTCTGACAACCCAATATTTTAAAAGAAATGTGATGGTCAAAATTAGATCCCCATACTTGAATAAATATAATATTTAATAAGATAGTGATTTATAAATTTTATGTACTACATAAACAGGAGGGTTTATGATAATAAGTATATGCCTGATAACTGACTGTTGCAGAGTATGAAAAGCAAGATTATTCTTCAGCTTTTTAGATTATATGTTTTACTCATTCCAATGTAATTTTTACTTAAAAAATTAAATCCTAGAACTAGGATAAGCAATAGATTACTTATCTATTAATGAGAGTCTAGCTAAAAACTTAAAGTAAGCATAAAGCACTCTGAGTATCCAAACAGATATAAATTTGAAATGCCTAAAACCTGTGTTCTATACTTATAATAGAGCTCCCTCATGTACTCTAGACATAATACAAGTGACATCAAATCAAAGCAGTTTAAAACAGCAAAACAAGAGTAGAAGGGAAAAACTAGGAAGCTGTTGGAAGCAAGCACATGTTTAAGTAAATAAGATATATAGATGACTTTCTGAGAAATCAGATTGAAAAATCTTAAAAAGTGTATATACTTAAAATTCCCCCAAACATAGCATTATTGATAGTTAAGTGTAAAAATAAGTTTTTAGACTCTCAAACATTGTAAAATAACTGATAGTAAGTTCCATGGTAGGGTTAAATTGGGGAAAAAAGTGTGAAATACATGTGAAAATTCTATTGAAAAGTCTAAGAGAAATATTTTTGTCATTTAAAGGTCAGTTATCGAAAGAAGTCCTTTATTTGGAAAGTCTCATTTCTTCTTGATGCTAGATAAATAATGAATGTCTTTTGTTGAGTCTTTTTGGTTATGGTTAATTTTGCGTTCTATAGTTTTTTTCCCCCCTATAATATACCTAGTGACTTCCTATCGTCTCCAAATTTTTAAGATTAAAATTCACTACTTATTTACTGTGGTTTTTTATTTCCCCTGTGTTTGTGGGGTATTTTCTTTCATATTTATTTTGTAAAGTTTATTTAAAATTGCATCATTATATTCCAGAAAATTAAATTCTGCCTAATTATCATCTTAAAATATGATTTTTAAAAATTTGCATTTAAGAAATTAAATATAGCCATTAGTAGATGTTTGATATTAACTCACTCTTCTCTAATTAAAATATATTGGGGGTTAAAAATTTTATTTGCTTTTAAGTAATATTTGATCTCATGAGTAGTAATTTATTATCTGAAAATGGCATTGTTCTTTAGATTCTTAGAGGTGTCATAATAAAGATTGGGTTTTTTTTTATATGGAGAAGTGGTTAACAAATGATGAAACTTTCTCACATAATTAGATCTTTTAGATGTATCAAAGACTAAGTAGTGAAATGCTGTAAAACATTTTTTTACAATTTTATTTTCCCTCCCCTTTCCTTTCTTTCATCTCCCTACCCCAAGCTGGTTCCTTTGTAGCTCTTACTGTTCAGGGACGCCCACCTGGGTCACCCCAAATTCCACTTGCTGATTCTGAAGTAGAGCCATCAGTCAGTGGACATATGTCTCCTGTCATGACATCCCCTCATTCACCTGGAGCATCTGGGAATATGGAGAGGATTACTAGTCCTGTGCTTATGGGGGTAAGAGTGGGAAAATTTCTTTGTAAATGCTCAGTTGCATAATGCCTTTGTTTCGTATTGAGTTTTGCAGTAGATTCTAGAAAATAACTTCCTAATATAAAAATTATATAATATAGTTGACCCTTGAACTGTTGTGGGTTTGAACTGCACAGGTCGGTCCACTTATACACAGAGGTTTTTTTTTCTCCTTAATAACTGTAAATGTATTTTCCTTATCATTTTTCTTAATGACATTTCCTTTTCTCTAGCTTATATTATTGCAAGAATACAATATGGTATAAATAAGGCTTCCAGTCAACAGTAAGCTATTCGTAGTTTTAAGTTTTGGGGGAGACAAAAGTTATATGCAGATTTTCCAACTGAGCATGGGGGTTAGCGCCCCTAACCCCTGCATTGTTCAAGTGTCAACTGTAATTTGGAATGATTACTGAATATTGGGATAGCAGATTTAATTCAACAAATATTAAAGACCTACCTATACAAAACAGTTTGCCACTCATAAGATAGCCTATGTTCAATGTTCTTATTTATCTTAGAATATATACTTTATGAAGGCAGGGGTTTTTTTTGTTTGTTGTTTATTGTTGAGATACTAGTGTCTGAAAATAGTGCTTAGTATTTGGCATACTTAAACCTTTGTTTGAGATTGAATCAAGAGTATACAAGTAATTATAATACAAAAGCAGAATGTGACATGAGGTTAAAAACTATTAAGTTCTATAAGGACTCAAAGGAGGGAGAAAGCACATCTGGTTGTGATAAGGAAGGACTTTATGGAAAGCTATTATTTGAATTGAACCTTGAAAAACAGGTACATTTAAGTGGTGGCAATGGAGAGGGAGGCAACCCAGGTAGAGGAAGTAGAGGTGGAGAGCCAAGAAAGCACCAAGTATTTTGGGGAAGTAGCCAGGATTCTTGTTTGGCTGGTTCCTGTTAAGAATTTATGTAGTGAGGCCAGCCGAGTGGCTCGTTGTTTAAGAGTTGGCTTGGGAGCGTGAACTCTGAGCAGCAGGGCTGCCAGTTCGGATCCCACATGGGCCAGTGACGCTGCGCCCTCTACAGCTAAGATGGTGAACAACAGCTTGACCTGGAGCTGGGCTGCCGTGAGTGGCCAGTGACGGGGTAGGCTGCAGTGGGGCTGCAGTGGGCTGCTATAAGCTACTGTGAGTGGCCGGCAGCCAGCGTGAGCAGCCATCCAGTGGCCAGCGACCGACCTGCCTCAGCCAGGAAGAACGAAATGATCACAGTACCAACATGGGCTAGTGAAGCGATGTCCTCCACAACTGAAGAACAAAAGGACAACAACTTGTCTGTTCCCCTTCTCCAATTCCCCAATGCTGTTTCCTCCCCAATTCCCCAATAAAATCTTTTTTAAAAATGTGTATATATATATAAATAATTTATGTAGTGAGAGATGAGCTTGAAAAAAGTAAGACTGTATATTTGAAAAATCACAACTCCAAGGCTAATTTACATGTAAGTAGATAGGCAGTAAAATCCATTAAATTTTTTTTTTGAGCAAGAGAGTGATGTGATTGTAACAGGATTTTAGGAAGATTAATTTGATAAAATAAAGGGTTGTGAAACAAGGAGAGATAGCAGGAGATGAGTTAGGGAGCCGTGTTACTATTTCAGGTAAGAAGCACTAGGAATAATGCATGGGGATTGATAGTAAAGATCCAAACAAGAGAAAGTATAAGATGGTATTCTTATACTTAAGGCAACTTCAATACTCCAACTAATATCAATATTTAATGTTTTGTTGAATCTAATTTAGTAAAAGTGAAAAGGGCTGAAATTTCCCTATAATCTTTTATCTTTAAGTGTCACATCTAAAAGTCTGTCCTTGTAACTGCTGGAAATAAAGAAAATCTTAATAGGTATTGAAAATTGGAGCTGGGACATAACATTGTGTGTCTCATTTTTGCTGTTTATTTTAGCTTCACTTTCCCTGTATTGGTTCTTTTTTGTTTGTTTATCTTTTTTTCAGGAGGAAAACAATGTGGTTCATAACCAGAAAGTAGAAATTCTGAGAAAAATGTTACAGAAAGAACAGGAACGGCTACAGGTAGTAAAAGGGCTGTTTACAGGCCATTCAAAATGTGAGTGGGCATAGTTGAGTTGGTATTTATCATAATCATAATCAAGCAGTATTGTAATTAGTGCCAGCAGCTATTTGATTAAGAGTGGACTTTTTCTATATTGTCTTGGCATAAGTAAGTATTTCTCAAAATATTTCTCAAAATATTTTTATAACTTTTCAGTCCTTGCAGGAAAATTACAACCGAACACCTGCCCAAAGATTGTTAAAAGAGATCCAAGAGACCAAGAAACACATTCCTCAGCTCCAGGAACAGTTATCCAAAGCCACAGGCTCTGCTCAGGTAGCATCACTATTAAAAGTGCTACCCGACTTTTTGCAGGAACATACTCTTCTGGAAATGTGTCAAAGAATGTTGCAGTTGCATTTTTAAAGTTATTTTTCTAGCATAGGCCAACAGGATAGTCTGTGTAGGACATTACAGGGATGATAACTAAAAGAAATGTGAACTTCTGATTATTTGCTCATTCATGATGTAATGTTTCCATGTTTCATAATAATTTTAAAAAGAATTCAGTGCTTTTGCTTTGATGTGATGAATTAGTAAAATGTATTTAGATACATACAGTTATATTTTTAAGGGTCGTTCTGTCATTGTGAAACAGAATGACAGTTATGTTTTTAAGTAGGGACATATGATTTTACAAATTGACAAACATTGTGCTAAGTACATTTTCTTCTTTAGTCTGCACAACAACCCTCTGATATTAGATATTGTTTTCCCCCATTTTACATATACCTTTACAGAAACTCAGAGAGATAAATACTTCTCTGAGATCATGTAGCCCAAAAATGATGGAACTGGAATTTAAACACAGTCTGATGAATTCAAAGAACGTTCACATTCCTAATGACTATATTTTTATTTTTATTTTGAAATAGATTTGAGCAGAATTTGCTACATAGATATAAGCATGGAGATAATTGTCTCATTAGAAAAAAAAGAGCTCAGTATTTATATGTCAACCAGATTTCTGTAATATTAAAATTTGGGATATGAAAAGCTCCTTTTACTTCATCTTAAAACAAACTGGAAAAATTGCCTATACTATTTAAAATGAGTAATAGCTGTTTATTTGCTATTCTTCCTCAGTTAGGTCTGTAAGTGAAAGCCAGATTCATTAGAACTAAGAGGATGTTTTCATCTAGCCTAATCTGCCCATTTTAAAGTTAAAAAAATCTATGGTTGTGAAAACTAGGTTCTAAACTGGTTAAATAACTTATACAAGGCCACACAGTTGTAAAGTCTCCTGACTAGCTGGTTTAGTGTTCTTTCTGTTACATGTCACTTATTTTTTTAATTACTTTCAGCCCCTTTAACTATATGAAGTTTTGAGTATTATTATGCCTCAGTAATGTTGACAGTTTTTTGTTGTTATTACTGAACAAGGACAACATTCTTATTCTATTTGAGTAGTAAAACTGTGGTTCCTGATATGAAAGCTTATAATAATTTATTTTATAGTATTGTGTCCCAGTATTAGTGATTTATTGATATTCTAAATGTTGGAAGGTAGTGAACCAGAAGTTATAGTGTAATAATCTTTACTAATGGGCAGGCAATATAAATGATATAATTTAACAAACTATTTTATCTTTATGCTTGATTTGGAAGTTTGAACTTTTTTTCTCTTTACTAAGTTAGCTGTATTTAAGGTAATGCCATTTTAGAACCACAGAATTTGTAGTTTTATGTTTTTAACTTTTAGAGCTTTAAGCATTCTTTTTTTATATTAGTTTTAGGTATATGAAACAACATTATGATTAGACATTTACACCCCTCACAAAGTGGTAACTCCCAAAGTCTCCTACTCTGACAACATATATAGCTGTTACAGCACCATTGACTATATTCGCTATTAAGCATTCCTGATCACATCAAACTGGCCAACTTTTAGCAGTCTCCATTTGGGTTGTAATTCAACTCTATTTCTTTATGTAATCAATAATGAAAGGGTTTTCTTTAACGTGTTTGTGTGTTTAATCTGTTTTAGGATGGAGCTGTAGTTACTTCTTCCAAGCCTTTAGGTGACACAGTAACAGTCAGTGAGGTAGAAGCAGATCCTGGTGATGGACTACTTAGAATTGACTATGGCAGTGGAGATGCTTCTTGGCCCAGTAGTGACAATGCAGATGTAAGTGTTCTACATCTTTATCTTCTTGTGTTCTTCTTTACATCCACTTTCTAGATTTGATTTTAATTTATGTGACTTAGAGGTATTCTCTTATTACTTACTTTTTATCACTGCCTTCTTTAGTGTAGCAATTTGATAAGCAGAAATTCTGAACATTGTTGTATGAGGTCGGACAATTAAGTTCATGAACTCATCCTAGAAAAAGTGCTACATACTGTACTGCTGAATATCACCATGATCACCCTCAAAGCATTCCCCTTGGGAAGCTATGCACTAATGCCAGCGCCTAGTCCACCCTTCAAAGTAATTTTGGAACTCTTTCTGGAATGGCCATCAGAGCTCTCATCGGATTACCCTTGATGTCCTGAATGTCATCAAAATGTTTTCCTTTCAATATTTCTTTTATCTTTGGCTAAAGAAAGAAGTCATTGGGGGCCAGATCAGGTGAGTAAGGAGGGTGTTCCAATACAGTTATATGTTTACTGGCTACAAACTCCCTCGTAGACAGTGCTGTGAGCTGGTGCATGGTTGTGATACAAGAGCCATGAATTGTTGGTGAAAAGTTCAGGTCATTTTTGTCTAACTTTTTCACGCAGCCTTTTCAGCATTTCCAAATAGTAAACTTGGTTAACTGTTTATCCAGTTGGTGCAAATTCATAATGAATAATCCCTCTGATGTCAAAACAGGTTAACAACATTGTTTGAACAAGTTCGTGAACTTAATTGTCAGACCTCGTATATGAGCTTTTAATTTCAGAGTTCACTTTTTCCCATGGACACCCATTGCCAAATGTTTCTTTTGAGGAGATGGAATTTCCCAGCAGGCATCTTGTTTGCAGGTAAAAGTTAGTAATGCCAATGCTTTCTTACTGGACCAAGAGGCCAACTGTTGATATCTTTAAGAGCATATTATGGTATTGGTAGACAAACAGACACACAGACCAATGTTATAGAATTGAAAATACAAAAATAAACCCACATAAATATGGACAGATAATTTTCAACAAAGGAGCCAAAAACATACAGTGGAGAAAAGAAAGCTCCTTCAATAAATGGTGCTGGGAAAATTGAAAAGCCACGTGCAAAAGAATGAAACTAGACTGCTACCTGTCACCATGTTCCAAAATTAACTCAAAATGGATCAAAGACCTAAACATAAGACCTGAAACTGCATAGAAGAAAACATAGGTACTAAACTTATGGGCCTTTGGTTTAAAGAGGATTTTATGAATTTGACCTCAAAGGAAGTAAAAGTTAAAATAAATGAATGGGACTATATCAAACTAAAAAGCTTCTGCACGGCCAAAGAAACCATCAACAAAACAAAAAGGCAACCAACCGAATGGGAGAAGATATTTGCAAACAACGCCTCTGATAAGGGGCTAATATCTATAAATAAAATATATAAGGAACTCATACAACTCAACAACAAAAAGAAACAATCCAACTAAAAAATGGGCAGAGGAGGACAAAGGCGCACGAGAGCCAGCTCGGACCCAGACCACAGCTGCCATCACCTCCACCTGCTCAGTGGTCCCTCAGCCACTTCTCCTGGCTGTGAAGGTGAGGCCACAGCCACAAGCAGTGGAGGCTGCAGCCACCCGCTGCCCAAGGCTGCCTGGCTCCCATTCACAGGCAGGGTGGCGGCCCTGAGGGCGGGTGGTGCGCCAGATGCTGCCCAGAACCAAGGCGGAGCTGTTATCTTCATCCTCAGTGATACTGCCCAGAGCTGGACTCCGTGGCACAATTTAAAAAAGGTATTTATGGAATTCCAATGAGTGGAGATGGATGATGCAGTTCAAATAACTAAGGTCAACATGGATTCCTGCTTCATTCTTCTTCTGCTTGGCAATACTCTGATACATGTCAGTACCAACAATGCAACCACATTTCACCGTCAGTAGATGTTACAAGATCTATTAAAAGAAGAAACCAAAACTTCAAATCCTACTTCTATGGTTTCTTTTTCCGTGATACCAACATTCAGCCCAAATCTAACTCTGGGATTCACCTTTGTAACCACTATCAATTCTTCAGACTTTGACAATGGGACCACAAGAATAGCAAGCACCAATTCTGTAGTCACTACAATTTCACCAAATGGAACATGGCTTCCAGATAACCAGTTCACAGATGCCAGAGCAGAACCTTGGGAGGGGAATTCCAGCACCGCAGCAGCTATTGTAAAAACTTCCCCTCCTTCTGAATTACTCCAGTCGAGTAATTCTGACTTGAAGGACAGAAACGTACCTGTTAGACACTAAAGATTCCAGAAAGAAAAGAAAAATGTTCCCTGTCTCATGGAAGAAACACATGAACACTAAGAATCAAAAGCCCACTCAGCTATGTACTATTGGATATACTACACACAGTGCTGTGAGAGAGCTTCAAAGACTCATTGTACTTGGGGAGTGAGAACGAGGCATGGAGGTGAGCTTTGGGCAGTGTACATTAATACAGTAACTGAGGAAAATGAGGATGTACCAAATCGGATAAAAGCAAGGAGACATGAAAGAGTAAGTCATGTGTCTGAGGAACTGTGCACAATTGACATGCATGAGGTAGGTTGTGGCCTCGGCAGAATGGGCCTGGTGGTGCATTGAGCTCAAGAGTCAGGGTGTCTCCTGGTGATGGTAAGGAAGTGAGATGCTCAGATATTTATTTGGAAATATAACTCCAGAGGCCTTAGGGAAGATAGATAGGCAATAGAAATTAAGGTTTCTGAATGGCAATTTGGCCCAAGCCAACAGTGATTGGGTCCGTGAGGCAACCTGGTGACTTTTGCTGGTTTTAGAGCCAATAGGAATCACTTAAAACATTACAACTCTGCCTTTGAAAGTTGATAAATATTTTTTCCAAAAAGTGTGGAAACAAGACAAATAAATGGGTCTTAGGAATTGAGGCTAGAGGAATATGGCTTTTACTTCACTGATTATTTTTGTAGTTGACCAAAGTGTACCTTAAGTCCTAAGGTGACTGACCTGTCTACATGTGAACCCTTAGAATAACATGACCCTTTGTTCCCTTGTAAAGGGGGTATAGCAAATAAACAGCTGTTGTCCCAAAATATGATTTTAGTATTTAGTATTTTTAAAATGCTGCCTTCTGACCTGAAGCTAGGAAGTGAAATTTTGCTGGAATGGGTTGCAGGGGGAGGTGCAGAGAGCAGGGCATGGACCGGCATGCCTGCCTAGCCTGCATCATGCAAGGCCACTTCTGCAGAGGACCCGGTCCAGGACTAGCCTGAGCATGATGAGAGGACAAGTCTGTCCAGTTCGGGAGGAGCCCTAGAAGAGTGACTTGATCCTGAGCTAACTCCCAAGTCTGAGATTTGATACAGGGAGCTGTAAGTTCTTTTTTTTTTTTTTTAAATAGATCTGAGTCTTCTTCCCTCACAGAGGCTTGGGGACATCTTTACTACCTGTATTGTCTTTAACTGTATTAAAAACCTGGATGTAGTTTAGAAGCCAGGAGGTAAAATCTGACTTTTATGATAGAAGACTGTTATGGCCTGAAAGCTTGTAGTAGTTAAAGTGTTGTTGGTCCTGTACTTACGAAGAGTCTGGAGAATAGTGTAACTTTGTGTTCTTGCTTTAGATTTGCAGCTGTGTAATACAGGCAAGTTAATCTCTCTGGTCAGTTTCCTTACCGATAAAATAGGGTTAATAATGGTATCTGTCTTAGGGTTGTTAGGATAATTGAATGATACAATATGTATATGGTGCTTTGCTCTGTGCTGTCTACATAAGTGCTTAAACATTAACTGTAATAAATTTTATTAATTTCCAAAAAAATTTAAAAATGGGCAGGGGACATGAACAGACTTCTCCCAACAAGACATACAAATGGCCAACAAATAGATGAAAAAAATGTTGAACTTCACTAGCTGTTAGGGAAATGCAAATCAAAACCACAATGAGGTATCAAGTCACACGTTAGAATGACTGTCATCAACAAGACAAATAATAACAAGTGTTGGAGAGGCTGTGGAGAAAAAGGAACCCTCATACACAGTTGGTGGGAATGTAGACTGGTGCAGCCGCTATGGAAGGCAGTGTGGAGGTTCCTCAAAAAATTAAGAATAGAATTATCATATGACCCAGCAATCCCTCTCCTGGGTATCTACTCAAAAAATCTGAAAACATTTATCCATAAAGATTTATGTGCTCCGATGTTCATTGCAGCTTTATTTACGGTGGCCAAGACATGGAAACAACCACAGTGTCCTTCGATAATTGATTGGATAAAGAAGAAGTGGTATATATACACAATGGAATACTACTCTGCCACAAAAAAGATGAAATACTGCCATTTGCGACAACATGGATGGATCTTGAGATTATTGTGCGAAGTGAAATAAATCAGACAAAAAAACCAGAAAACTATATGACTTTACTCATATGTGGGATATAAAACTGAAAGCAACAAAGGAACAAGACAAGAAAATAAAAAAACAAAAACTCATAGACACAGACAACAGTTTAATGGTTACCAGAGGGTAAGTGGGTAGGGGTTGGTAGATGAGGGTAAAAGGGATCAAACATAATGATGATGGAAGGAGAACTGACTCTTGGTGGTGAACACACAATGTGATATATATTATAGATGATGTAGTATAGAATTGTACACTTGAAACCTATGTGGTTTTGTTGACCATTGTCGCCTCAATAAATTTTAATAAAAAAGAAAAGAAAGATACACTATAGTACCTCCACACAGGCAGGCATTATTAAAAAACAAACAAAACAGGCATGTTAATATTCTATTTGTGATCAGAGTGACTCAGTCTTAAATCACAGGGTACTTTGCCATTACAAAAAGGAAAAAAACTTAGTCCTGTTAGATAGACTTCAGTTAATAGCCCATGTTTAGTAGCATTTTCTTGATTAATCCAGAAATTGCCAGATGAACATGGATATTTGTTAAAAGATAAGAAAATATTTTAAGTTGAATATGATGTAGCTCCCTAGTCATATGAATACTTAAAAGCTAAGTCCAATGTTACTCAGCAATACTTTGTAAGTAGTATGCAGTGATAGGAATAATGACTTAAAAATAGATTACCCTTTTTAAAAATGATGAGGAAAGTAGTCTAAACTAGTGTTTTTAAAACTCTGGTTCATGAAATCAATTTAGTTGGTTGGAACCAGCATTTAAAAAAAATAATAGAATAGGAAATGAGTGCTTTAACTGTAGACGCCGTGTTAACTTCTTGTAACTTTGTTGTATACACATGTATGTCTGAGTACGTATATATGTGCGTGTGTGTCTATGTACAGACACATATAGTGATTAACAATGTATAATTTTTCTCTTATTACAGGATGTGGTAAAAAAGAATTTGAAAGCCACTGGTCATTCAGGCCACCTTTTGAGGTGTTTATTAAATATTTGAATGAACAACAAAATGAGTGATTAAAGAGTTTGGGTTTATTTTGCATGCAAAAGAGAAGCATAATCAGAAACATCAGTGTGGAAAATGAAATGGAGTAAAGAGACAGGGAGATATGTAAGAAAAGACTGCTTGGCTTAATAGAAACTTAACACATGTGAGTTGAATGGTTAATAAATAGTTGCCATTGCCATTATTACCTGCTATGCAACAGCAGTTGTACCTAATACTTTATAGATATTCTTTTTAACTCTCATAATAATCTTCAAGAAGTATCACCATTTTATAGATGAAACTGAGACCAAATAAATAAATGGATATTTTGGAAATCCAGATGAGAGATTATATACTGCAGTGTAGGATGTTTACTGAACATATAACAAACTAGCTGAATTCTTACATGTGTCTATTTGAAGCTAAGGCAGGTTTCTTTTAGTTGATGGATTTCCATATTTGTTTCAATTGTACTCTATTTGTAGGAACCAGTCAGTGTTGTTATATTTTGAATCAATTGTTTTTAAATTTTTACCATTTTCTGTCAATTTTTATAAAATAACCTCCTTGTGCTGTTTGCGATATCATTATCATTGTAAAATTCCCTGCTTTTGTTCACCTCAAAGACAGCTTTAAAGAATACCCATGTACCCAGTTCTCAGAAGAGAAGCCTACTTGATCACAAATCATCATCTAAAATTCAGAGCATCTGCCTCTCTGATTTTCAATTTGTAACTGATATTTAAAAATATATATTTTGGAAATATTTTAAATCTATTCAAAAGTAGAGAAACTAGCATAATGATCGCCTTCATGTACCTAATGACTTCCTTCATCAAACTTGTTTTGTTTGTACCCTCCATCCCTCACACTCTCCAAATACTGGATTATTTTAAAGTAAAACCCAAGACATTATTTCATTAATATGCATCTTTAAGAGAAAAGAAGGCTTAAAAAGTTAACCGTATTACCATTATCAAATTTTAGAATATTTTAATATGCAATTTAATTACTCTAATTGTCTTATAATCTTCTTTGCAGTTGGTTTATTTGAATCAGGATTTAATCAAGGTCTTCTGCCTTTGGTTGATAAGTCTTAATTTATAATAGTTCCCTTTTTTTCTTGCCTTTTTTTTTTGTTTATTAAAAAAACTGGGACATATGTCCATTATAACTATCTATATTCTAATTGTATTATGTAACATGTATAAACATGTTGTTTAACATGTTCTGTGTATATTTCCTGAAAACTGATAGTGAGATTGAGTCTTAATCAGATTAAAGTTTGAGAGTTGTTCGTCAAGAACAACTTATGGGTGGTTGGCACTGTGTACATTCTGTTACATCATATCAGGTGGTGAATGTCTGTTTGTTTTTTTGTGGCCTTACATTTGTTTAAGGTGTTCAGATGAAGTCATCATTCCTTCATTATAAAGATCTCCGTTAAGCTGTTATGTTTTTACCTGCCATTAATGATCAAAATGCCTCCATCCATTATTAGTTGTTTTAAAATGATAATATTATAGTTTTGTCGTTTCTTCTGTATTTATCAGATGCAGTTATTTTATAGAGAAGAATTTTCCCTTATTAGTTTTCAGATTACCCTAAAATATAGCTTATACCGGAAATGTAGGCTAAGTATTTGATTCTTTTCCTTTATGTGCATTTTTAGAACATTTGGCACCCTGACAAACTCCAGAGGTCACCAGTGTAGGGATGTGTACGTACACGCATGCATGTGTATGATATTTTGAATTCATAGATCTTAACATACTTGCTTATTGTGTTTCAGTCTAATCTTTTTTCTTTTTGATGCCTAAATTATCCTTTTTTTGGTCAGTAGAGCCTCCTCAAAAGCCTTCCTTATTCTTTTGACATTCTAGCTTTATTTTTTATATCTCTTGTGCAAGACCCAGAATTACCCATTTCTCCAAGACAGAGCTTATTTTTGAAACTACTGTTCTCTCTATCTCGTGGTATCTTGGTATATGTATAGATAGCATGTATCTTACTGGCATTCACACAAAACTGTCTTGCGCCTCGTTTTCACTTGCTCTGAAGAATGGCCCCCATTGCTTTGGGATATGCCTCATTCCCCAAAATTGAAGTTCAGCATATCATATAGTTTGTGTTTTATATTAGGTCATCACAAACATACCATGTAAATTTTACAAAAATTCATGCATCAGTTTCATATAAAGTAGTAATAGAAAAATAGACAGAATCTTAATTTAATTCATGTAAGTAGGCTAACATGCTTTTAACTTGGATAGAAAGAATAGTTTGGGGCAGAAGAGGTTAGAGGAAGTGAATAAAGATAGAGTTTGATTTTGACATAATGAGTTTGAGATATGTAATATATCTAGTTTGAATGATTTGGTAGAAATTAGACCTCAGACCTGGAGTTGAAGTATAACTGTTCTATTGGTTCTATATTGTTTTATTAATGTAAAACTAAAAAGCTGAGAGAATAAGTGATTTGCCAAAGTCAGGAGAAAGTAGCAGAACCAGGTATTATATAAAAGATATTTAGTAGTTTCAGATATATATATATGAAATTTAGAACATTATCCTCCCACACTATTTTTTCTTATCTCCTTTTGGTGAGCCTGTTGATATGAATGGAGTGTCTTTTTTTATTATTAGAGTCCCAAGAGTGGCCTGAAAGAGAGGATTAATCTAGAGGAAAACACAGAGAAAAACGAAGTAATTCAGGACACTGTGAGTATGAAACTCATGAAATGATAGTGCTTTCCTTATACTTGAGTGACAGACATACGAAGTCAGACAGTTAAGTTTGTGAACTTGTTCAAACGATGTTGCTAACCTGTTTTGATATCAGAGGGATTATTCATTATGAATTTGTACCAACTGCACAAATAGTTACTAAGTTTACTATTTGGAAGTACTAAAAAGGCTGCATGAAAAAGTTAGATGACCTGAACTTTTCGCCAACAAATTCATGGCTCTTGCATCACAGCAATGCATCAGCTCACACGGCACTGTCTGTGAGGGAGTTTTTAGCCAGTAAACAAATAACTGTATTGGAACACCCTCTGTACTCACCTGATCTGGCCCCCAATGACATCTTTCTCTACCCAAAGATAAAGGAAATACTGAAAGGAAGACATTTTAATGACATTCACGACATCAAGGATAATCCGACGACAGCTCTGATGGCCATTCCAGAGAAAGAGTTCCAAAATTGCTTTGGAGGGTGGACTAGGTGATGGCATTGGTGCATAGCTTCCCAAGGGGAGTAGTTTGTAGGTGACTGTAGTGATATTTAGCAATGAAGTATGTAGCACATTTTCTAGGATGAGTTCGCGAACGTAATTGTCAGACCTCGTATCTGCTATTTGTGT